CTTAAAGGGAGAAGGGAAAAACCTGACGGTATTTTAACTACCTGATCGATAACTCAGTCGCTACTTGATTTCTGAACCTTAATGGTTCTGATAGGGACTCCATGGTTATGTACCATGCCTTGATAGTCCTCAATTATACAGGACTGGTTAGAAACTGAACGTATCCTGCTGTTAGTCACCAGCGTAGGGTGAAAGTACTTCTGGTACGTGATTTATTGATCACGTTCAGCTTGAATGGATCTATCGAGAAGCTTAGAGAAAACAAGAGTTAAGAAAAGAAAACTGCCGTTGCGAAACTGTCGGTTGAAGAAACGCTACACTCTCGGTGAGGTTGGTAATCAAATGTCTTCTCTCAGTAGGTTGAATCCATGGTTATGTACCATGCCTTGATAGTCCTCAATTATACAGGACTGGTTAGAAACTGAACGTATCCTGCTGTTAGTCACCAGCGTAGGGTGAAAGTACTTCTGGTACGTGATTTATTGATCACGTTCAGCTTGAATGGATCTATCGAGAAGCTTAGAGAAAACAAGAGTTAAGAAAAGAAAACTGCCGTTGCGAAACTGTCGGTTGAAGAAACGCTACACTCTCGGTGAGGTTGGTAATCAAATGTCTTCTCTCAGTAGGTTGAAGGTGTCCATAAGTACACCCCACGTTTTTGAAAACATACTGTCAACAAACTGAAGAGCATTCATAAGTTAAAGACATTTGTAAATCAAGCATTATACTCACGTTACTCCACTACGCAATGCCTCCCAAGGTCGTTTCGGGCAAAGCAGCGAAAAAGGCCTCGAACGCCAAGGTAATGAAGGTTAACAAGATGAAGAAGCGCAGAGGCAGGGAGAGCTACGCTACCTACACCGGTATCTTCTCGAAAGTCAAGTCTGTCATGAACACGTTCGGGAATGACATTTTCAAGCAGATTGCCTTGGAGTTCAGCCATCTTGGTCACTACAACAAGCGCTCGACAATCATGAACAAACAGATTGAAACTGTAGTTTGGCTTCTGTTGGCCGGTGAGTTGGCCAAGTATGCCATCTACAAAAGTACGATGGCGGTGACCGAGTACACTAGCACAAAATAGATCCGGCGGTGTCTTTTACCGGGTAGAGAACGGTTTCACGGCCATTTTAGGGGCCATTATCGCGGTGGTGGCCGAGTGCTTAGACCACCTGACCTGAGGGTCCCGGGTTCGGATCGCGTCACCCCTGCTCCGCTGCTCATTCTTTCCATTTCTATTTTTTACAAGACACTCTTTGTATAGCCACAACCACCCTCATGAAAGTTGACGGTATATTTGTAAATTCAATAACTAAAAAACATGTTAAAAACATTTATATTCTGGTTCGTAAGCTATCATTCTACGCCCTTATGCTTAAAAAGCTCGGCGTTCCCTCAAATTTCATTCTCAAATTTGTGACTGCCTGCATTCTTTCACATTGGTTGTACTGTTTCCCCGTATATTTTCCTGGTCTGAAGGAGAAAGACTTTATTCTCGCTTCCAGATCTCTTAATCTTCTTTCTCGCTGCAGCGACATTTCAAAGACCGTTGACTTTATTGTTAGCAAGTATTTTGACTCATGCGATCAATTTATCAGCCATATCCTGTCCAACGAAGAACACTGCCTGCACTCCCATTTCAATAAATCGGTATCTCCTCCGAGTGCCCGTTCCCAATTTCGGATTCTTTATGCGCGCAACACCACACATAAAAACAGCATGATCCCTTATTTTGCTCGCATCTTGATCAACCGAGCAAATATTATTGCTGACTTGAACAATCATCTCTCACATTAGGATTTTACGTAAACCCGTCTGTTTGTCATTTAGTAAATGTATATTTCTTCTATTTCCAATAGTTAATGTTTTTTCCCTACTGTAATATGTTGAAAATGCTGAAAATTCATCCTTTCGAGTGCATAAAGCTTTACTTGACTTGACTTGATCTGACTTGAAGTGAAAAAATAATAAATTTTATAAATAATCATCCATTTTGATTAATGACTGTCAGCGTATTTTGTACTCTATTATGTGATTTTGTACCCGAAGCGTCATAATTAAACTATATTGCATTTTACCTTCAAGGTGCTTGGTTACATCACCATCATGCAGAATGCGATGGATCAAAGTGATTTTTTCCGCGACTTTAAGGAAAGATATGATGGGTTTAATACCACTTAATGAGCTACAGTGACTGGAAATCGCGTGTTAAGTGCTCCAGCTATCGTGAGAATTCACAAAGAACAATGAACCTTCGTTATGGCAGAAAAATCGCATAACATGTTATGATATAATTCGTAAACCTACAAGGTTATAAGTTTGAAAGTAGACTCCCAAATAAGATTGATTGATGTCGTTCCTTGAAATGTACATCTATAAACTACGAATGGCCTTGACGAAGCTCAAAATACATCATTTGCATTGTCATCGATAGTTTCCCGATCCTGTCCAAGTATCACTTAGAAGGACAGAGTAAAAAACAGCAAAACCATTATCACATACAAATATCGGATGATAAATGCAACCAGCACTAAAAAGTTATACGATCAATCGCATTTAACTGCTGATACTGCTAAGTTGTAACGATTCTAATGTTTGAGAACCGCAATTCATTTTGTGATGCACTAAATATTGATGAATTTTTACCTTCTATACAGAATTAGACCAACACACGTTGATGTCTGCTAGTGTAAATTATCGACCAGTGTACAGAGCAATGTTTGCAGAAAGTGGTTCTCCAGTCCACATCCCCTCGCAGGACCCAAATTTGATTCAATCCTCTTTCTCCTGTTATCTCCAACTAGGGTACCTGTCTGGTGAATGAAGTGGAAAGACATTTTCCAAGCCAGTCAATTGACACACATTTATACTATTGCCCTTCCATGTATGACCCAAATCCCGTATTGTGCTGAAGTTATTTGCCCATTGTAGACTACTTTCTGATCATTGCTCCAGGACCGACACATATTCATTCATTTACAAAAACGCTGAATCTCGACACACCTGATACACTTCAGTTAATAATTTGAAACCCGTTCATTCAGAAAATTCGCAAGACTTTTGCCTTTATTCAAATTCAGCATCTAACGTGACCCGTCTAATCACTGACAGCATAATGCATCTCAGTTGATATGACAATCCATGACCACACAACTGCCGGCACCCAGGCATTTCTCCTGACTCAGTCCGGAATCCCCCACATTGAGGAAACATTCGATCAATAGGCAGTTTGGTGCATTTTTGGCTTATGTTCGTACCAGGAAATCTATTTTATGTCTACAAATGTGATTACTTATTCCAAATCGATCTTGATGTTAAACTGTTTTTAAATGGCATGAATTGGTATTTGTAGTTGTATAATTTTTACAATGCATACATCTCAGTTAAAAATTGTACATTGGTCGTCACACCGGAAGAAAATATGGAAATATAGACAAATCGAATAGAGTGCAGTGTAAAACAATGTCTCAAGTAAACATTGACGTAATTCATTTATTACTCGTTCCTTCTTGGTCAAGATTCGAGCCAGATATGGAACAGGGGAGTTCTTATAAATGTTTATTCTGTAGGGTAGATACCGTTAACAGGAACGAGTGATCGAGTTGGAGCGACAAGAAGATAAGTCAAGATGCAAATGATAGGAGGAGTGGTCTAGAATCTTATCGGCAAAGGTAATACAAGACTTCCTATGACCATTGATAAACTTTGTGATTAATGACTCCGCAGAAATTAAAGATACACGGCATATAATCATCGATCCACGACGGATAGTTTTAAATTCTTGTTTCAATTGACCGGGAAACACTACAGGGGAGCAACAAAGTAAAATAGGGAGAACGCATTGAATAACAAAAGAGAACAAACTTGTTGGGAAGTGTGGAATTGTCTGAGCTTTGGA